TGATGTGGCTGCAAAAAAGGCAAATGCTATATTAGGCTGCATTAGCAGAAGCACAGACTCCAAATGCTGTGACATGCTAGTCCCCCTCTACGGCACTAGTTAGGCCTCACCTTGAGTCCTGTGCCCAGTTTTGGACACCACACTTTGAGGAGGGGGCCGAAAAACTGGAACAAATTCAGAGGAGGTCAACAAGGATGATCACGGGATTGGAAACCAAGCCCTAGGAAGAAAGACTTCAAAGAACTAGTTATGTTTAGACTTGAGAAAAGAAGACCAAGAGGAGGTAACGATGGCTCTTTTCCATTACCTAAAAGATTGGTCTACAGACATGGGCTCAAGTTACAGGAAGCCAGATTTAGGATGAATATTAGGAAAAACTTTCTAATTGTTTGAGCAATCCGCCTTGGTTTCAACATTTCTAGCCAGATTTAGGATGAATATTAGGAAAAACCACCTAATTGTTTGAGCAATCCACCTTGGTTTCAACATTTCTGCCTCCAGAGAGAATTCAGGCTGGATTTGATTGAGGACCCACTTTTCTGTCTTTATGGCGGTCCAGGATATCCATAAAGCTCTCCTCCAGCACCACGTTTCAAACAAATCAATTTTTTTCCCTCTCGGCTTTCTCCACTGTTCAGCTTTCACACCCTTACACGGTGCTAGGAAAGAGAAGAGTATGGATGGTCTTGGCCTCGGCTTTCAGTGACACATCCTTCCACTTGATGTTCTTTTCTGTTTCCTTTATTGCTGCCCTTCCGAGTCTGTGTCTTCTTCTGATTTCTTGGCTCCAGTCTCCACCGGGTATGATCCTGGGCGTCAGTGAGGGTGCACTTTAAAATTGGGGGTGGGTGGATTGGGCCAGAGAGCATCCCTGTGCTCAACTTTGTAAGGGAAAGCAGTACACACAGTAGGGGTGTTTCCTGTGTTTGGACTGGAACTCCCAAAACCTGGCAGCATCTCCCAGAACTGAACTGCATCTCCCAGAATTCTCCTAAGAACCTCCCCAACAGAAGTCTTCAGGTTTGCAGTTCAAAAACAAAGCTGCCCAACCCCTAGCTTTCATCCCTTACTCCCAAAAAAAGGACTGTCGGGTTAGTTACATCCACACCATCAACTCTTTTTCCTGGCCTTTGTCTTCTATTTTTGATTTCAAAAACAAGAGGGAAGCTGCTGTGGTGCATCTTGGGAGTCATCATTCTTTGAGAGGCATTTTCTGTAGAGGGTGCTGGGCAGCTAAGCTATGACTTCCATCATCCTCAGGCCCCCAAGAGCCCCAAGCCTCCCTGCCAGTCATCCACTATCACCCCTCAATCCAGGAAAGAGGATCCTGGGGGCACATTCGATCTTCCTGAGGTCCCCAGAGGGCCAAGGCCTCTTCCCTCATCCTCCGGGTTTAGGGCTTGGGGCTAAAATCTTGAAATGACTTACCAGTGACCACCCGGCAAGGGAGGACCGAAAGTCTTCCACTACAGGCAGGGCCTTCTCCATGGGGGCCCCAGCCCTATGGAACCAGCTTCCGGAAGCCTGGCTCCTTCCCTGTCCTCATGGAGGAGGCAACCCAAAACATTCCTTTTCGGGGAGGCCCTTTGTACTCACCGGGGTTGATGTTTTGTTTTTGTCCTGTGAATGTTCTTAAGTGTCTCCTTGTTTGTGCTCTTGGTTTTTAACCTGCTGTGAAACCACCCAGAAGAGCGCTTTTGCTGTAAGGGGCCCCCGTCGAATAAAATAATATAGAATAATAAATGGTGCTGCCCCCCCCCCATACCTTTGACTTTAGACCCTGCCGTGGCCCTGGAATGTGGCCCCTCTTCAAGGAATGCCTCTGAAATCAAAAGAAGTCTGCAGAGATTGAAGTGAGCCCCATTTCCACCCCGAGGGGCTGGCGGCCGCCGTAACAGCTACCGCTGGCAGGTTTCTGGACCGTTCGTGACTTAATGACCTGATGAAGGAGAATACAAGGAGTCCAGGGGAAGGATGGCCAAAGGTGGTGTGGGAGGGAAGCGTGGATGCCATGCCACTGAGCACCGTGGGCTTGGGAAAGACGAGGGCAAACACCCTGGAGTTTGCTCCAGCATCCTTAAAATAAAAAAAACAACTGCCATCAGCAGAGGTTGGCAGTCCAGGCCTTTTAAGGGGCCTTGGCGACAGGCGGAAGGAAGAGACGGTGCTGTGTGGATGGAGGGGTGAACCGTGTTCATCTGTTCCCTTGAGGAGCAGGCCTGTGGGTGGCAGAAATGCAACGTGTGTGCGGCTTTTCTTTGCGGTCTGCATTTTGCTCTTCGGAGCACGTCTTCACCCAACCCTGCCCGGAACGCCACGGCTGAAAGGGTCAAGAGCCACAGGAAAGGAAGCCACGGCCCTCGAGGTGGGTCCTTCACGGGCGAGACTTAGCGCGCCATCAGTCGGGTGTAGAAAAGAAAAGACAGAACCCAGAGGAGCGAAGAGCAATCTTTTTTTAATATATATATATATTCTTAAATAGCATTTTTCTTCTTCCAAAATATACATAAGTATTAGTGTTTTGAACAATATTTGATAGAACCAAACACTGCAAACTGACAGCAACCCAGAAGACAGAAATGGAGTAAGCGATGCAAATGTAAGTTTGTGCTGTGGAGATCAAGGGGGTCCAGAGAGCATCTCAGCCCCGCCACGGAGGACCGGGGAGGCCGCCTGCAGTTGGAAAGGTGACACACAAATACCCAGCTTCTAGGCGTGTTGACAAGTATTTTAATTTCATTGCTGTTTAGTCATTAAGTCGTGTCCGACTCTGGCACTGTGCATCACTGTACGAGGAAGTAAGGAGTAATATGTGCAGGTATGTTTTCAGGGCACTTTCCCTTTTAAAGCTGGTGCCAACCGTATGTATTCTGCAGCACTTTGAAAAGTTACTTTTATGGACAACAAGGCCCAGAATCCCCCAAGCACCACCACCACCCGCCCACCCAAAACAATTTTTCCACACTGGTTTTCTGCTCCATTGTCTCAAAATACAAAAATATTTTTTTATCACATTCAACCCCGAAAGCTGACAGGGTGAAACGTCTTGTGAAGCTGTAAACTGCAAAGCCACAGCCTGTGCTAATTCCGTAGAAATACATTCACGTCCATAAGGACTCGCTCGTTCTGTGTGCAATGAAGCTGTCGCAGGAACAGGTGGAATGGGGGCTTTGTCTCCATTTCTGTTCTGCAGAGAAACATCGATTGGAGCAGTGTGCTGGGCATAGGCCTCTGTGCTACTTCTCTACTCTCTTATTTATGTAGGTAGTAAAAAGAAATAATGAAATCTAGAACAACACAGAGCGTGCACTTTACCCCAGGGCAGCGCACGAGCGTCTCTGCCCTGCCTTGTAATAACTTACAGCTATTACATCAGAATTTCTCTGACTGCAAGCAGTGGGCGACGGAAATGTTTATTTCCCAGGGAAGCTTTTTTTTTAAAAAAAAGGATGCCACCTCTGTTTCCTCTTTCTCATGGGCAGCCTCGGTGCGGGCGATGCCGCCATACTCCATTTTCTGTGCCGCGAAAGCCAGCACAAACACCGGTCAGGTGCACACCACCATGGCTACTTCCTGCTGAGGAAGTTGCTTAGGAGATCTGGAAATCAGAGACACCGTTTAAAGCATCACCACCAACAGCAAAGAAGGAAGGGTGTTCCTTGTGTTTATCCATGAAAATCCAAGAGACATCTCCTCCCACCCTCCCCCAGTCCACTTGGTTTTCTTGCACCCGGACCCACGCAACGCAGCCAGGCTCAAGGTTTCCAAACTGGGGAGTCCAAATATTCTTGGATGACCCTTCCCGTTCGCCCTGGCCATTGGCTGCCTTGCCTAGGCTTCCGGGAGAGTTACTCCCAATCTCGTACCCGTATTTTTCCATGTATAAGACGCCCCCACTTTTCAAACCCCAAATTACGAAATCTAAGTGGGGCTTAGCAAGTGTAGGGGGAAAGGGATCAAAGCACTGCAGGATTGCTTTGATCCCTGCTTTCCCCTCCACTTATTTTTGTTCTCTCCTCAGCTTACTTCCGTGTATAAGACGACCCTCAATCTTTAGTCTAAAGATTTTAGACAAAATTGTAGTCTTATACACAGAAAAATACAGTAGTTTGGGAAATCCATCTATGCATCTTCCTGGAGGTTTCGCCTGCTGAATTATATATATGGCTTGTGAGTGTTCTGCATGGACCCTCAAGTGGCGAGTGGTAGATCTGCGGGCAGGTAAAACAATTCCCATGCACTGGAAAAGGTAGCATCGCTGGCACACCATGGCTTCCTTTATCAGAGCCCATCACATCGGGGGCTGAATGGAACTGAGGCCGAGGACTTGTTAATGGTGAGGGAAGGTGGGGGTGGTTGGAGTAGCCCCCTGCTCTTCCCAGAAGCAGGTGGCTGCATTTCAAGAGAGGGAAAGGCAGGAATTCATCGGAGCGGTCACAACCTGCTGAAGAAAAGCTTCACCTGCTGAATGTCAGCCTACCGTGCAGGTGTTAGAACCTGGGTTGGAAAGCCAGAGCATCATCCTGCCTTCTCCCTGAGTGGCACCTTTGCAACTGAGGTCAAGGGAAAGCCGATGGTTTGGTTAAGGCGGTTTCCTTCCACCTGCTCAGTTCAAATTGAAAATGGACGGGGGGACGGAGCACCCCGAAGCAGATCTGACATGGGTCCTCAGCCATCTTGCCTCCAGGATCAGGGCTGGGCTGAGCAGGGGTCTCAGGGAAGCAGCCCAAAGGGCTTCCAACCTGCACGGCTGCAGCCTTTCGTCATCACAGATGCCGTACGAGAACGGATAAATCTGTATCTAGGCAGGCAAAGAGCAGGTCGGCCACCCAGCGGAGCGTGCCTGAGCAAGGAGATTCTGGGTGTTCCGCTCCTTCCTTTTGGGCTTTATGTGGCTGGGGTGGGCAACCAGCGGCCCCCTTGGCGTTGCTGGCCTACAGCTCCCAGTAGTGCTAACTATGCCTTGCCAAGATGGAGACATCATGGGAGTTGTAGTCAAACCACCTTGGGAGAGTCAAATGCTCCCCGCTGGCATAGAATAAAAAACCCAGAGGCCTCTCTTAAAGCTACTTCCTGCTCTTGATGGTCCCATCTCATGCCTTCAAAAGAAACGATGGCACTTTTAACTCATTTCTACAGAGGAGGAGATAATTGTGTTTTATAGGTCTGTCTGCCCCAACTTGGGTGGTGCTTAAGGTCATCCATTCTGACCCCCCTCCGTAGGGGCTGGGCTGCCACTCCTACCTGCAGCAGTGAGCAGGCCGATGGATGGGAGACCGCGGTGTTACTTAAAATGTGCAAAGAAAATCAAAATGTTTTCGAGGTGCAAGACAGAAAGATGACTCCCCCCCCCTTTTGCAGTCTCTCTCACGCTCTTTGGCTGTTTTAGGAAACAACGTCTTAGCACAGCGCTCCTTCCTGTCCAGCTCTGCATCTTATCCAGCCTGACGAAGCTTGTGCACAGTCAAAGCCAGCTGTATTCTAGTTTCCGCGTTCTACAAAATCCTGCATGCAATCTGAGCAGCTCACGTTGCCACCAGGGCCTCGGGCAGTGAAAAGGCTAAGGCTGGCCCTGTCGGCGTGTGCAGGCCGCTGAGCGTCACAGGACTCTGGCTTCTGAACGGTTTCCCAACAAACCCACACACCCTCTCCTACAGCAAACTGGCCTAATCCAAAGCAAACGTGTTTTCTATAGACTTCTGTGTAGCGTGGGGTAGAATATTTAATGCTAGGCGCCAGTGGTTCTCAACCTCTGGTCATCTAGATGTTCTGGAGTTCAATTCCCAGGAGCTCCGGCCACCAAGGTCAATGGTGAGGGATTCTGGGATTTGTAGTCCAAAATATCTAGAGGATCAAAGGCCGAAAAGCACTGCTCTCTGCTGTGCAGATCAACCGAGTTGGACCGGCTTGGACTACTGAACAGAAAGATTGTGTAGATTATAAGATATAAAGCCACAGTTATTTCATAGGACCTACTAGATTAAAAAAAACAGCCTTCCCCATAGGACTGTCCTCCATATGTATTGGACTACAAGACCCATTACCCTTGGCCAGAAAGTAGAATGCAAAGTTGACATCACTACTAGCAACCCTGCGTGGGGCAAAATAAGTCTGGAGGTGGCAATGGAAGTTCTCGGAGGAAAGGGAGCAGGGAAAAGACAGGAGAGACGGAGTCTTCCAGGCTTACGATTCCCCCTTGATCCCCTTTTGAGGAAAACGGGCGACAAGAGGGAAGCGTGGTCTATGTTCGTTGTGGGAGCAGAGCTTGGAAATGTTAACGTTCTCAGCATCTCCCAGCCAAAAGGGCTGCCCTGAGAGTCATAGCTTTGTGTTTTTTAAAAGGACATTTAACTTGATCCACTCCTGATAGGCAGAGACGGGGGGAAAATCAGCAGAAGAGCACTTCTAAAGTGTAATTTGCTGCTAGCGAGCTCTACGGTTGATCCAACAAGAGGGCTTAACTGTTAAAAAACGGTTAACCCTTACTTAGTCGTATGGCCCCCATCTCTGCTGGTACACCATGGATGCTGATGGAGGGTCCTCCAGAACCCACTAAGAGTAGACCTGTTTGTGCCCTAAATATGCTCCGTCTCCAGAAGGAAGCAGAAAGAGACCGGCGTGTGTAGAAGAGAAGACGGCCAAAGCCTGCCACCGGGCTGGGCCTACCGAGAGATCTCCTTACTTTTTAGGATCTACTTCCTCGCTGGCTTTACTGGCTCCGCAGGATCTACCAACTGCGATGTGGTGGCCTGTAAGAGTTCAGAAGCGGGTACGAGAGGGTGGCTCGGGGGCAGAAGACTTTTTTTTCCTGCCACGCTCCAGGAACCCTATATTAAATCAGCTTGCAACTGCAATTACGAGAGCGCACAGAGCAACGATCTATCTAGTGGGGGAAGCTTTTTCTTCTTGTTCTTGGTATTTTGCAATTATTTAAACCATTAGGAGTTTGAAGGTGAAGCTAACGTTCCCTTGCCCACCCACACACCCCAGCCGGTCTGCAATCCAGCGCAGTCTCCTTCGGGGAAATGCCAGAGGCGTTGCCGTAGAGCCGTTGGGTTCGGGCGGAGGAGAGGCCGCAGGCGAACGAGTCTCAGAACCAGCAGGGCATCCACATGAAGGACCCCAGAGCCGCCCCAGAGGCGGCCCCGGCCAGCAGCCCCAAAGCCATCTGGTCTCCAGACACACGGTAGGGGTCTTCGCGGAAAACGATGTGGGTCGTGCCGCTAGGGACTGGGGAAGGAGGAACGACAACGGTCCGTGAGTCACGTCGGGTGCAATACGCATGGCTCCCAATCCGGGCACTTTCCCTTCCCTTCTCTCTCTTTGTATTAGGAACTTTGGGGGGAAATGGTGCTTTTTTGGGATTTATAATTCCCAGGATCCTCCAACTCACAACCAGTATTGACAAAAATGCAAGGATAATGGCCCATCTACAATGAAGGTCAAGGGTTTGCTTGTTTGTTTTACCTGCAAAGCGGTGGGGGGGGGGGCTAGACTCAATGGTCTTCGGAATCCTCTCCAGCTCTGCATCTTCTGATCCTCCTCACACATGTTTTAGTGGGAGGGTGAGGTGCATGCTTTAGCCATAGACCACCAGGAAGGCAAACGAAGTGAGTTCTGAACCAGATCGAGCCCCGAACACCCGATGCTATTGTACTTTGAGCAAACAAGACCCACCAGAAAAGGCCCCCATGCCAGGCAAAGCGGGTGGTACGTAGCAGGCCAAGAAGAAGACCGAAAATCCAGGGTGCAAATAGCTTTGGGACCCAATCGTATCCATTCCGAAGCCGCAAGATTCTCATGTCTTTTTGATGGCCGACTGGCACAGATTCCCTCCCCACCCCCCAATTCAGTTCAGGGCTTCGGAATGAATCGAAATGGGAATGGTTTGCCTCGCAGGACCGGCTTTTCATGGGCTTGCACTGGAAAAAACGTCTGGAAAGAGAACCCCAGGCCTCTTCGTTCAGGAAAAAGCCACAGGTTTACCAAAATGATGCAAGGTTTCAGGTTCCCCGGAACTATTCATTAGGTCTGGAGTTCCAAAGACTTCTGGAGAACTCAAAACGCTTGCCCTTCCCTTGGTGACGATTCGGCTTTTGGCCCATTTCTCACGGACCCGCCCCATGGCTTCCTCGGCTTTGGGAATTTTGAAGCGCCTTGAAAGAGCCACCCCTTTCCTGCCCTGATCCTGACTGATGGCCACTTCTTCTGCTCTGGTGGCCAACCCGGTCGGTCCTCTTCCTCGGCTAGTCCTCACACAGGAGGCCAGCAGCCGAACGCAAGCGAGGTCCCCTGATCAGCCTTTTGCTATGGGTAGACCTTGCGCCCCCATGAGAGGCCAGGGTCTCCTTCGTATCGTTCAGAGAGGGGACTTTCTGGAAGGCTGATCTTCTTTTTTAGTACCTCCAGGGAAACATTTGCCACTGGCACCGCCAGATGTCACCCTAAGCTTCAAGATGCTGCTGCCAGCCACCAAGAACGGCAGAAGGCAGCGGGAGACACTGGACTTCTCCATCTGTCGCTCGTAAAGGTTCAAACCTGCAGAAGCCAAGCATCTGCTTTGCCCAGTATTCCGAATATTTTCGGGTTCCTGCCTCGAGCAGGGCGCTCAGACCGGATGGCCTTAAAAGGCCCCTTCCACCTGCTACAATTTCGTGATTCTATGTTATTTTAGAAAGAAACCCTCTTGCATTATTCATGCCTTCTTAGCAGTTAGGTGGCTGTTATCGTGATCATCCCTCCGATCTCAGAAGCAGATCATTGTACCGCAGGTATCCAAATGCTAGGATAAAAAGATACCCTGAAATACTTTTCGGTTCCTTTTTGGCCGCCTTTTCTGATTATTGCAAAGACCATCATGCGGAATACAGTGGTGCCTCACTTAGCGATGTTAATCCATTCCGGAAAAAACATCGCTAAGTGATTTAATCGCTAATCGATTTTTAAAAGCCCATAGGAACGTATTAAAACGCGTTTAATACGTTCCTATGGGCTAAAAACTTACCTTAAAGCGAAATTGCTCCATAGCGGTGGCCATTTTGGGTGCCTCTACAGCGAGGCGAAACAGCATTGCTCCATAGCGGTGCGGCAGCCATTTTGGAACCACCGATCAGCTGTTTAAAAAAGTTCACTTTGCCATGATCACTTCCCCGCGATCATCGCAAAGCAAATTTTAGCCATAGAGGACATCGCTAAGCGATCGCTCCAGCGATGACCAAAAGTCCACTGCAAAGCGATTTCATTGCTCAAGAGAGGGATCGCTAAGCGAGGCACCACTGTATACGAAAGCAACACATGCTTCCCGACTCTCATACTTCCCTCGTCACTTTGGATCGTTTAGATCATGTCAAAAAGCCTGAAAAAATCTTTGAAAATATTTTGCAAAAACGACTTTAAATGTTATTAAAAAGTAAGATTAGTAACTCATAAGGTGGAGTCTCCTTCTTTGGAGGTTTTTAAGCAGAGGCTGGATGGCCATTGGTCGGGAGTGCTTTGATAGATGTTCCCACATAGCGGGGGGTGGGACTGGATGACCTCCGTGGTCTCTTCCAACTCTGTGATTCTATGATTCTAAGTCATTTACGGCACCCGCAAGTAGCTTTGCAGTTACTTAAGACTTGGTTCCTTATGCAAGAAATCACTAAGTACGGGTAACTAGTAACAGATTATTTGAGGGAGCCCGTTTCAGTGGGACAGTTTACTTTTGGGTTACAATGGGCTGGCCCCTTTTGGAAATGCCCGTCCTCTGTTTCTGAGGTTGGGAGATAACAGGGGAGGCGCTCCATCTCATTCATCCAGTAAGGTCTAAGATCTGGCCATAACGAAAAACAGCCTTTTATGGCCGTTGTTACAACAACTGAGTACAACCAGCAAGAAATGCAGAGGTAACTTCGCCCCATTTCTGTGGGTCAGTAAAGCCACCCCGCTCGGATGTCCTTTAACCTGGATATTCAGAGTGGGGAAAGTCTCAGCTAAGATTGAGGAACACACTCATCAAAGCCTTTTGCTCAAGTGGATTACCCCTCAGGGTCATTATTCTGTAACTTCTTGGCAATGGGAAGACTCTCTGCAGCAAAGTTTCAAAAGATTCTTTACAAAGTAGTTCATTCCTGTCACAATCAGAAAATGCCCTTTTTGGGGGAGTGGGGGACACAGTGAAACAGAAGAGTCTCTTTTTAGGCGACACAGTACAGAACGGACCGCCTGCATGCCTGCTTTTTTCAGACCATGACTCCCGGAGTAGCCACCTTGGCTGCGGGTTTATGGGAGAAGTTGTCGATGCAAATATTATTTTGCCAAGTTTTCTTCTCCATGAGCCATACATTTTTTACAGGGAAGAGAGGGCTCGGTTTCATATTACCTCCTGCCTTGGGAGGAAATTCAGCTGGTTACGGAGGAGTCACCTTCTTTGAATTTACCTTTGAGGACCTGACAATCGCCAGGAATTTTGGGCATTATCGAATAATGTATATGCATTGTCCATAATATTTTTGTGCACAGCTTGAGAAAGACAGATTTATATCAAAAGCTAGCTGTTGGTTCAGGTTTTTTTAGTGGCCCAATAAAGGTATCACCTGTCCTCAGGTTTGAACCACAGATGGACCAGAGGACTCTCTCTCTTGATCTTTTCCTAAGGAATGGTTCTGTCTGTGAGTAGGATCCTCGTGGAACAGTGGTTATACTGCAGTACTGCGGCCAAAACTCTGCTCACGACCCAGGTTCAATCTTAGGCAGCCGGCTTAAGGTTCGCTCAGCCTTCCATCCTTCCGAGGTTGGTAAAATGAGTACCCAGCTCTCTGGGGTGTACAAAGTGCAGACTGCATAATGAAATTGTAAACCGCCCAGAGAGTTTGTTAAGCACTACGGAGTTGTATATAAGCAGCACCACTTTGCTTTGCTTTGGTTTTGCATGTCATCAAGTCAGAAACAACTCAGAATGATCCTTCCAGGCTTTTATGGTTAGTGAGATATTTAAGGACCGGTTTTACCGGTGGTCCCTCCCAATGTGTTCAAACATAGGGTTGCTCCGGTCTTGGTTTGGCCTGGCCCATCCTTGGCCTGGCTTCCTCTCCGGCCCTGTTACCCCAAGTGGACCTTTGGGTTAAAAAGAAGCCCATCTCTGCTCCACTCGCCCAAAAAGCACTCTCGCGGTCCAACGTCCTGAAAACCTTCCCCAGCCAATCTAGCAAACCGTGGAGCAAAACAGCCCCCCCCTTGCCCCAGGAAGGGGACAGGAAGGCGAAGGGGGTGACCTACCTCCATACTGGTTGCCATAGTAATCAGAGGTGACGTACATCGCCTGGTGGGAATCGAGGGGCACCGTCTGGTAATAGTCATCATCATAAGGGTCGTACAAGTGGACCTGGAAAGACAAGGAGCAATTAAAGGTTGGTAGCAACCCATTAAACGTTCCCGGCAGCTCGGCGTCCATGCGCTGAGAGCCTTAGAAAGTTCCCTTTTTATTTTGTATGACAAGATTCCAGAACTCCCCCAGGCAGGAAAATGGGTTAATATGTTCCTTAGCCCAATTAGGTGTGCATCAAAGTGGGTGCGAGCTTTTGAGATCCACAGATCTCCTCTGCATGAAAGGTGTTGCAAAAAATCAGGCAGGGGAATGACAAAGAGGGAAGGTGGGTGTGCCCCTTTAATTCACATTCTGGACATGGCACTCTGGAGATGCTTTGGGGAAGGTATGTCTGCAGCAGTCCTTGGAAAAGGCAATGTTTAAAACAGGAACCTTCCTGTCAAAGTACATCTAAGAATGCTTTGTAAGTTTGGAAGTCAGCAGAAAACATTACTCCTTATACAGGCCTGGGGAGGAGGTTGTATACATGGCTGAGGGATTCTGAGAATTGTGGTTTAAAGCGCATGTTATATCAATGCTGCCTCAATTGGTAAAAAAACCCCACCCCTTTCTTCCTCCCTCTGCTCCACAGAGGAGCAGAGGAAAGGAAGGGATTTTTTAAATTTTTTAAAGTTTTTAATTTCCCAACCTCATGAAGGGGTTAAGTTGTCTGTTTAAGCCACTGAGGATATTGGGAAACTGAAACCAGCCAGGAAATTAAAGCAGACATTCTGCTTTGTTTCATTCCTGGTGATCACACGTCCTGGATAGAAACCAAAATGGAGCGATCTTGTCTGCACCTGAAAAAGAATAGACCCTGACATGGACTCAGATAGATATAGACAGGGATGCTCTGAGGGCAGGCTGGTTCGCTCTAGCAAATATGTCAACTGGTTCCTGGTGAAAAGAGCGAACCAGCCCATCCCTGCAGGGGACCAAACAGTGGGCTAAAATGTTCATGTCATCACCTTCAAGAGTTAGCAAAAAAGGACAAATGGTTCAGGTAACTGTTCGTGAGCTCAATATCTGTTTCTGTAGGAATTCATCAAAAATTCAAGAACCGTTCACGCTCATCGGCTGACTTTCCCCGTCTCTGCCGCAGTTCTGCCGTGAATGTCGGGAGATCCTTTTAGCGGCTGGGTCAGATAAAGCGATGCAACGTGATCTCCAGCAGCCTTCCTTCCTGTAAGCGCTGCGAGATGCTCTTAGATTAGAGCTGCCAGGATGCAGCCCGGCTCTTCGTCTGCCAAGCCTCCCATGTGTGAGCCTGCAGGTCAGGGTGAGCAGCTGAGGCTTTTCTGCACCGAGGCCTGGCTCGTAGCCTCAGCTGCTGCTGCTTCCCTGAGAGAGCAGACGATGTCCTTTAGCTCCTGATTGCTGAAATGTGGCCACTGAAGGCTGCAAAGGAGCCGGCCTTTCTGCTGATCCGTCTCTCCATTTTCTCTTTCAGCCGCACGCCTTCCTGTTTCTAAGCAGCAGTGGATTGGGTGGGAGAAAAAAACGGGGCCTCTAGAGACACACGGAGGGCTTGCCCAAGTTCCTACTTGAGGGGCTGCCCCTCTGCATTGACTCGGCTGGTTATGGCTCAATGGAACCTCCAGGGTCAGAGGCACTGTATCTCTGAATATCAGTTGTGGAGTGGCAGGCATAAGGGGAATACTAATCCCTTGATCCTCCTTCTTGCTTCCTGCCATTTCTGGGAGGAAGCGTTCAATTGTTTTAAAAAATGTCTCTTTAAAAATTTTCTTTTACATTTTTTTCAGTGCTTCCTCCATTGGTTAAAAAAAATCCATGTGCTTCTTCCCTCTGCTCCACAGAGGGAGGGAGGGAGGGAGGAAGG